ACACACACACACACACACACACACACGAAACAACCCCACCCACCCAGTACACAATGATGAGAGGTCACATGAATAGTGTTTTGGCTTCCGCTATACAGGCGGCTTCTGTCCGGCTGATAAACAGAAACTGGTTTGAACTGGATGAAGAAACACAGGCAGAGACAACGCAGGGCATGTGCCAAGAGACAGGCATAAAGATAGGCTTTACATTTTTAAAAGGACCTGATCGTGTTGCCATGAAAGATGAATCTTACTTTGTTATTTGACTTGAAATGTTGCCTTTTTCAGTGTCTGGCTGACTAAAACAGTATACTATATTGAAAGTATTGAAGATAATTCCAACTTTATCACATGTTAGTTAGCCTGGCAGGACTGCTTTAAAAGAAAACAGGTTTGTTTTAAGACCATTTTCAAACACACAAACAGGTATGTGCAGCATTACGATTATGGGATTCCAGTTTTAGTGTGTGGCAGTCCAGCACAGTTTAAGAGAACACAGGTAAAAACAAAGTACAAAGAAATGTGCATCAATCTAATAACACAAAATACACCTAAATATGAGAAGCAAATAAAGAAACTCAAATCCTACAAATCTCTTACTGTGTATTAGGTCCCCCACCCCCCCACCCCCCAAATAAAAAAAGCACACACACACAACAAAGTCATGCAAGATGTAGCAAATACAGATATGTGAAAAAAAGCTCCAACCAAGTTCTATAACATGCTGCAAGTAGAGATAATATCATCATTTGTGGCTACATTGATCTCAGCACAAGTGATGGTTTCTCTCATCTAAGTGGAGGATCTCTTTGTTACCTTGTGTCCAATGCCTCTGAACAGACATCTTTCTAATATGAATAATTGAAGTGTAACTTTGGTTAAGCTGTCTGTTCATTGTGCAGCACACAAGCATGAAGCCCTGTTTTCTGCTGTGTCTGCGTGTTTTAGCAAGTTGCGTATGTTGCAGACGGTGAAGTCCAGGCACTCGTGTACACATTCATGCAAAGTGCTTGACAGGAATCTGGGCTGTTGGCCAATTGGCAGGCTGTCCTTGATGACTTCTAAACACAGCTGAGGTTTGCTGGGTGAGATCTGTGTGTTTTGAACTGCTTCTGAACCTGCCCAAAAAAGCTTCTTTAAAAAAAAGGTTACCACATGGACTAACATACGTTTTAATCTTTGAGCTAATGTGCACAGTGGCTCATTTTATTTCCAACAAATTTATCGTACTTCAAGTATGAAACGTACTGGAACCTTTGACCTTTATTGTAGTATCCTGCTCACCTGCGGATGACCAACAAGCTAAGCCAGACTGCCAAAATAAGACACAAGGAGACAGAGTTCACACTGAAGCTGTGATGCAGAATTTATTCAGCCACACAAGCAGCAAACATGTCAAGCATTAATATGTAGTTATGTTGATGCAAAATTTACTGGCATCGATCTGGGTCTATAAACAGTGGAATAAAATATGCTCATATTACCATATTATCGCTGCTGAAATCAGTGACTGGCTTATTGAAAAAGGTTTGGCCTGTTTAGAGGAACTGAACAGGGCCAAGGTACAATAACACATTGGCAGTTGTTAATGCAAGCATGTACTTTTTAAACAGTGCTTTAAATGTCATTGTTACTGGTGTATGCCATACAGACATTGTTAGTATCATTGCTCTTGATTGTTTTCCTCGAGGACATGAATCACTTGCTTAGAGTCAAGAGAATAGTGAAGCAAGGTACACTTTAGGGAATGGTAAATGGACTGGTTCTTATATAGCGCTCTTCTACTCTATCTGAGCACTCAAAGCGTTTTATACAACTAATTCATTCACCCAATTACTTTTTCTAAGGTGTTAGTGCCTATCTAACATCTAACATTCATACACATTCACACTCCAATGGATGTATCGGAGAGCAACATGGGGTTAGTATCTTGCCCAAGGATTTTTGGCATGCAGATTAAGGGGAAGCCAAGAATCGAACCACCAACCTTCCGATCAGTAGATGACCTGCTCTACCACACGAGCTACGAGCTAAATGTAGGGACTGCATTTTGATTGAAGGAAGACATTAACCTATGATTTGCATTGCCCCCTGGTTTCTCAGTCAGATCCACGCCAACAAGGCTGTGGTGAAACTCAAGGCTCCATAACAGGACTTTACAAACCAGTGGATGATGTGTCTGCCTCTGCTTTTTATATGCAGTGTATGGGTATGTTAAATTATTTACTCAGGTGTCGTCTGTTTAGGTTTTTTTTTTTTTTTTGCCCTATTTTAGAGCTAATGGTGCTTGTAATAATTGTAGCTTGTTCATTGCTTTGAAAACCAAGCTTTGTCCTCCCAAGTGACTGTGAGGAGGACGTGCAGTCTGAGTCTGTGTCTTGTCCTGTCTTCCTCCCCTCACCACTAACCAGTTGCAACAGATGCCTGCCCTTGCTCAAAACTGGGTTGTTTGATTTTTGGGCTTAGGGTATTATTATATTGTTTTAGTGTTTATTTCTTCCAATTTCCCTAATATTACAATAATTGATTACGCAAAAGTGGACAGTAAATTTGAATGAATGATCATTTGTTGACTGTCATTATACAAGTACAATCAAAGTCAGTTTTGCTTTATCTTAGGATAAAAATAATGATAACAATACATTTTTAAAAAATTACAAAATGAAAAGACTGAATAAAATAGGTTATTAATTAAACACAAAATAAACATAAATTTAAGTGTAAAGCAAAGTAAAAAAAAATATATATATAGATAAAGTGTCCTCAGTTCCATAACGTGCATTGTGTGTATTGAGGTTTCTTTGCCATGTGGAAATTTGGGTTGGTGGAAGCCACCACTTCTCTGAGTGGTCTCAGAATCTCATCTCTGCTTTTCAAAGATGGAGCCAGTTGAGGTGTTCTGGGCATGTCCCACCGGGATGAGGCCCCGGGGCAGACCCAGGACATGCTAGAGAGAGATATCA